GCTCTCGGTGATCCTCGAGGATTCCGCACTTTGTCGGCCCTCTTTGCCTTGAACCTCTGGAAGCCTCCGGAGGTCTCCTGGGACCTCTGGAGACCTCAGGTGCCTGGAGACCTCCAGAGACCCCCAGAGAGCTCTGGGGAGGGAGTTCGCGAAGGATGATGGCACGCAGCGACAAAGGCGACATTGTCGACATTGTCGTTTTTGTTGGAAACCATTGGGCGTTTCTTCAGGTTCCCGTCGCCGCGGCTAGACGTGGCTCGGAAAATCGCCCTGCAGGGACACGCTTTGAGCCGATGTTGGTCAGGGGTTGGGCGCGAGGGGTAGCCTTCTCAGAAGGCAGGGGGAGTCTTACAAGAGATCGGTGCGTCTCGTACCAGCTTCGAAGTGCACGGTTTCCCCCAGGCCCGTAGGCGGCCCCGAGGAGGAGGAGGAGGAGAAGGAGGAGGAGGAGGAGGTGGAAGAGGAGGAGGAGAGGGAGGGGGAGGCGAAGGATGGAGGAGGAGAGAGGAGGAGGAGGAGGAGGAGGAGGGAGGACGAGGAGGGAAGAGGAGGAGCAGGAGGAGGAGGCGGAGGAGGAGGCGGAGGAGGAGGACGGGTCGCCTAAGCCCTTCGGAGAAACCCTCCACTTCGAGGAAGTCGTCCTAAAGGCAGGAAGGCTTCTGACATGCAAGGTGCCTTCTCAGAAGGCAGCCCTCCCGCCCTGCCCGTCCTGTGCGCGGCCCCCCCCCCGACGCACCAGAGGCGAGCGCGGTTTGAGAGAGCGGCACTTCCTCCTCCTCCTCCTCCTCCTGCTCCTCCTGCCTCCCTCCTGCTCCTCCTCCTCCTCCTCCTGCCTGCTCCTGCTGCCTCCTCCTCCTGCTCCTCTCCTCCTCCTCCTCCTCCTGCTCCTGCCCTCCTCCTCCTCCTCCTCTCCTCCTCCTCCTCCTCCTCCTCCTGCTCCTCCTGCTCCTCCTCCTCCTCCTCCTCCTCCTCCCTCCTCTCGGCATCCCGCCCAGGCCCACGGCGCGCCGGCCGTCCTCGTCCATCCGTGTGCAGGGGGGGAAAACAAAAGAAAGGGCGGGCGCTGCTGGCCGCATCGACGAAGACGCCGGTGTCGTAGACGGTGACTGTCAGCGTCACCGCCAGTGTGGACCGTTGCACGGTCCCCCCCCCCGGGGCCGTAGGCGACCGGAGGAGAGGGAGGAGGAGGAGGAGGAGGAGGAGGAGGAGGAGGAGGAGGAGGAGGAGGAGGAGGAGGAGGGGGAGACATTGTCGACATTGTCGTTTTTGTTGGAAGTCATTGGGCGTTTCTTCAGGTTCCCGTCGCCGCGGCTAGACGTGGCTCGGAAAATCGCCCTGCGGGGACACGCTTTGAGCCGATGATGGTCAGGGGTTGGGCGCGAGGGATAGCCTTCTCAGAAGGCAGGGGGAGTCTTACAAGAGATCGGTGCGTCTCGTACCAGCTTCGAAGTGCACGGTTTCCCCCAGGCCCGTAGGCGGCCCCGAGGAGGAGGAGGAGGAGAGGAGGAGGAGGAGGAAAAGGAGGAGTGATTCTAGGTGAGTTGGCGGAGGAGGAGGTAAGAGATGAGGAGAGGGTCGGGGGGAGAGCGAGGGATGGTATGAGGAGGAAGGTGAAGAGGAGGAAGGAGGGAGGAGGAGGATGATGAGAGGCAGGAAGAGGAGGATGGAGGGAGGAGGGAGTACGAGGTGAGGGAAGGAGTCGGAGCATAGGAGGAGGAGTAGGAGGAATTATGGGGGGGAAGAGGCGGTGAAGGAGGAGGGAGAGGGAGGATAAGAGATGGAGGAGGATAAGGAGGAGGAGGGAGTGGGAGGTCGAGGAGAGGTGGAGAGGGAGGAGGAGGGGGGAAGGGGAGGACGCGAGAAGGGAAGGAGGAGGAGCCGGAGGAGGAGGAGGACGGGTCGCCTAAGCCCTTCGGAGAAACCCTCCACTTCGAGGAAGTCGTCCTAAAGGCAGGCAGGCTTCTGACATGCAAGGTGCCTTCTCAGAAGGCAGCCCTCCCGCCCTGCCCGTCCTGTGCGCGCCCCCCCCCCCGACGCACCAGAGGCGAGCGCGGTTTGAGAGAGCAGCACTTCCTCCTCCTCCTCCTCCTGCTCCTCCTGCTCCTCCTCCTCCTCCTCCTGCTCCTCCTCCTCCTGCTCCTCCTCCTCCTGCTCCTGCTCCTCCTTCATCCTGCGCCTCCTCCTCGTCCTCCCCTCCTGCTCCTCCTCCCTCCCCCTCCTCCTCCTCCTCCTGCTCCTTCCTTCTCCTCCTCCTCCTCCTCCTCCTCCTCCTCCTCCTCTCCTCCTCCTCCTCCTCCTCCCCCTCCTCCTCCTCCTCCTCCTCCTCCCTCCTCTCGGCATCCCGCCCAGGCCCACGGCGCGCCGGCCGTCCTCGTCCCTCCGTGTGCAGGGGAAAAAACGAAAGAAGGGCGGGCGCTGCTGGCCGCATCGACGAAGACGCCGCGTGTCGTGGGCGGTGACTGTCGGCGTCACCGCCAGTGTGGACCGTTGCACGGTCCCCCCCCCCGGGGCCGTAGGCGAGGAGGAGGAGGAGGAGGAGGAGGAGGAGGAGGGGGAGGAGGAGGGGGAGGAGATGGAGGAGGAGGAGGAGGAGGAGGCGGGAGGAGGAGGAGGAAGGCGGAGGGAGGAGAGAAGGAGGAGGAGGAGGGGGAGGAGGGGCAGGGGGAGGAGATGGAGGAAGGAGGAGGAGGAGGAGGAGGAGGAGGAGGAGGAGGCGGGAGGAGGAGGACGAGGAGGAGGAGGACGGGTCGCCTAGGAGGACGGGTCGCCTAAGCCCTACTGAGAAACCCCCATGGATCATGTTCGACGTCATCACGATCTGCGTAGGAAGTGTCCCGTGGGGTGTCCGAGAGGGGAGCGTCCCAGAGGGGTTCGTGAATTCTGGTCCGAAGCACGCGCGCGGCCCATGGAGGGAGCAGGGGGATGCATTGAAATGACACGGGGGGGGCATGAAATCCATGCAAGAAGATATCATGGCCCTGGCCTTGAAGTATCCACCCCCTCCCCCTCGCCGCCCCCACCGTGGGGCCCCACCGCTCTTGGCCGCCCCCGACAAGAATGTCAGCATCACAAGTATCACTGAGCAGGAGACGTCGGGCGCGGAGGAAGTGATAGAGGCCAAAACGCCGAAGCCACCTGGGTCGGAACCGGGGACGCCTCCAGGATCACGACTCGCGACAAGGTCGGCGCAGACCTGGCCCCAGGCCAAGGGTAAGACTGGGTGAGCACAGATCGAGAATCTCCGAGATCCCGCGCGTCATCATACCATGTTTGTACTGTTCTTGGAGGTTCCCCCTGTAGAGGGACATGCCTGACTTAACCATGGGATTCTGACCTGGAACCTGGGGCGAAGGGAAAGTGATGGAATAACTCCTTCCCCTGGTAGGGGGTGGCATCTACATCCCCCTCGTCCACGCCGTCTGATCCTCCTCCTCCGTCACCCTTCTCCTCCTCCTCCTCCTCCTCCTCGTCCTCCACGCCTTCTCCTCACCCTCGTCCACACCTTCTCCTCCTCCTCTTCCTTCACCTCCCCCTCTCCACGACTTCTCCTCCTCCTCCTCTTCCTCCTCCTCCTCTCATCTGGAGGAGTGGCAGGCGTGAGGAAGGGCCGCAGTTCAGATCGCGTCGAGCCCGCGGCGGCGTGCCAGGGCGGCGTAGGAGGGGGCCGATCCCGGATGTGTGCGGAGCACATCACGAGGCAGGCCCCGCGGGCCCTGCGGCACGACGAGTCTTCTAGGGAAGCGGCAGGTGGTGCACGGCCACTGCTGCCAGTGGCAGCGGGGCAGAGGTGGTGCGGGACTGGGGCCGTAATCGCCCAGAGGCAAAAAAGCCCGATCGACACACACGCACAGGCACGCGCGCACAAACACACGCGCACACACACACACACACACACACACACACACACACTCGTACACGCACGCATACGCACAAACACACACACACACACACACACACACACACACACGCGCACGCGCACGCGCACGCGCATACACACACAGACACTCACGCGCGCATGCGCGCGCACTCGCACGGAATGTCTGTCTCCGTCTCTCTCTCTTTTTCTATATATATATATATATATATCGCCGCTTCCCTCTACACACACAGACGCGCACTCTTACGTTCGTTGGATGTATCTCTCCCTCTCTCTATCTCTCTCTCCACTTATCTCTTTTATCTCTCTGATTATAAATGTGACTATAAACATATGTATGCGGCAAGACATACATATGCATATATATATGTATCGGATGCACGCACGTGCACATGATGACGAGCACCAACGAATAGTATAGCTAGTTTCCCCTCGCAGCTCATCCACATCATCCACCTCAACATACAGCATCCTCGCACTGCCAGAATTATGATGGCCAAGTGTCCTCGGTCATTGCCTCCAGAATGCGTTCAGCCCTGTTCAACTTCCCAGCCTCAGCACACGCGTTAATCAGCGAGCCCATGGTGACCTCTCGACTGGGGCATCTGAGAGTAAGAAGTGGCTGTGGACAGGAACCGCAGGGAGGACACGGACGTGGAGCAGGCCGCTCAGGCTTGCGGCAGGCGGCGACGCGGAAAGGGAGCGAAAGAAAAGCAGGGGGTGGGTGGGGCTTGGCGACGGGCGCGGGTGGGGGGGGGGGGGGGGGGGGGGGGGGGGGGGTGGGGGGGGGTGGGGGGGGGGGGGGGGGGGGGGGGGTGGGGGGGGGGTGGAGGGCCCCCCCCGATTGGACAAAAGCAGACCGTGAGCGCGGAATGCACCTGGGGCGTGCAGGACCTCAGACGGTTTGAACAAGAAGCGGGGAGGGAGCATAAGAAAACGGAGGGAGTCTCCCCACCCCTCCTCCCCCTCCTCCTTCTCCTCCTCCTCCTCCTCCTCCTCCTCCTCCTCCTCCTCCTCCTCCTCCTCCTCCTCCTCCTCCTCCTCCCCCTCCACCTCCTCCTCCCCCTCCCCCTCCCCCTTCTCATCCTCCTCCTCCCCCTCCCCCTCCCCTTCTCATCCTCCC